CCCACGTACCATGCGCAAGATATAAAGTGTTTCTGCATTTCGCACCCTAATTGCCTTTAATTTTTTTTTTTTAAAAACAGCTTGTAAATTTTTTTTTGCCTGGTCTTCTTTTTTATATTTTCTAGCCTTTCTTTCAATTTTTCTTTGGGTTCTTTTACATAGCTATCACACTAATTTTTTTTTGTCCTATCCCTTTTTCAACTTACACAACCGTGTCGTGTAACTTGCCTTGTAATGGGCTAGGTGTACGCACTAGTCCATAACAGAAAACAGAGGTCCCGGCGCAAAAAGGCATTAGATATGATTTTGCCTCTAGGGCCCCAGAAAAATCTGACATTGGAACTTTTAAACACCGAAATAGCTGTATTTTAAGATTTTCTGAAAAAATTTTTGTATAACAAAAGCACGTTTTTCTTTTATATTTTATCCCAGAAATAAGTAATATGTTTTACGTTACTATTAGAAAAGCAAACCGAGAAATAAATAATATTTGAAAACATAATGATCTCACACATTTTTGGTTCGAAAAATCGAAATAAGCTTAACGTAAATAAACGTCAGCTTTTATCAAAGACATGAAATGTTTTGTGGCATCTGAATATTAAAGCTTCATTTGTTGTTATTTTGAACATTATGTTTCGTCAGCAAGCTTTAAAAAATATACATACACAATTTATGTACGAATGTACTTAAAATTTTATTTTTATTGTTTAAGCGAAAAACTGGAAAATGCTAAATTCCAATACATTCATATGTACATACATACATATATTTGAATAAAAATATTATTTTATTTATGCCTAAACCTTTCCTTTATTTGAAAAATATATTTTTGTACGTTTACTTCCACGACTTAATAATTGTATTTTTAAAATTTATTTCTATATGCCAAACCACAGTTTTGAATATTATTCAATACATATAGAAAGCTTAAAAAATATTAGTTAGGAAGCTTTAAAAAAATATGCATACATAATATTTATAAATATTATACATAAATGTACTTAAAATTTACACCAGACTGCGTGGTGGGTAGCGTGGTATCTTATATTTCCCTTTATAATTCTATATTTTATTCATATTTCGTATAACTCTTCAAAAAGCATCTTCATTTTACATTATATATATAGCTACTTCTCAAGTGTCAAACAGTACGGGTAGTTCTAGTAGAGACATGGGACAAAAGGCATTAGATAGGGTTTTGCCTCTTGGGTCCTTCATCACCACCCCCTGTACAACCTACTCCTTCACCAACTCCCAAGATTATTTGAGACCACTTTTTACAAAATAGTACTACATCCTGTAGGGGTAATTTTTTATTTATTTTCGGTGGCAAAAATATTGTATATAAATTCTAATTTGGAAGTGAGAGTTATAACAAAAAGGGAACACTTTTTCAAGAAAATTCTTAAGACTTAATAAAATTTACATTGTTTTATAATAAGTATGTACGTACGCATTTAGTAATGAATTCTTTTCGCGATCTGCTGCAAAATGTAATAGTAAGCAAAATATAAGTGTATATTAAATTTCTTGGCAATATATTTTTAGGACAAAATTTTATAAGAGAATGTTATTCTATTGCATTAAACTTTTTTCAAATACAGTATTTTCACAAAAATATTTAGAACGGAAATTCGCTGGTATTGATTTGTAAGGGTAAAGCGTTTTTAATTTAATTTTAAAAAAATAAAATTATCAATTAAAAAAAATTCATCTGGCAAATTGCATTTTTCAGGGTTTTGCATAGAAATCGTATGCTATACGCATTAGCCTCTATATAGTATTAGTATTAACTCATTATACATTCACGCGTTTTATGCGCATGTATTATAAAATCTAAACACATACGTGCATGGACTTTAGTAGCGAATTATTTTATGCGTATACAGCAATTGATCACTTAAAGTACTTATTGTCAAATGTATTTTACGATTTTATGCGACATAACTCAAAGCGAGGTTCTAAAATAAATTACTCAAAAGATATTAGATCTCAGAGGAACTAATTATTTAATTATGTATTTTTTGGTAATTATTTAAAAACTTTTCTTATTTTAAGTTTTATCCTATTATTTATCAAGAAAAAAACATATCTATAAGTATATTATGAGAGTGTTTTTGAAGAAAAAGAGTAAACTTAAAATATCTCAGACACAGAATGGACCACAATTTCAAAACTACAGACATAATATTTGCAAGGCTTGCAATGCAAGCACACACGATATGATTACAAAACGAGCACCTAGAAATTGTTTATTAATGAAAGTTAATAAAATAGTTTTCAATAACAAGCTACATAATTATGTTTTAATAATATTTTACACAAAATTAAAGTTATTCATTTTACATTTGTATATTTGAAGTATATTATGTTGTCATGTGGAAGTATGATGTATCAGCTTACGTAACTCTCGCCCTTTTATTTGAAGGACACATAAATTTTTGTTTGTTTTCTTTTAATTTGTATGTTTTTGTAATACGATCTCAGGGTGATATAAAGTTTTCTTCTAGAATCTTTTGTGTAAATAAATTTGAAGAAGTATCAGAATTACGAAGAAAATTGCAATTGTGCTAATTGTTGTTATAAGTTATACATATGTATGTTATATTAGTTTCGAATAAGGTGGCAAATAGTCTCAGGAATGATTTGTTGATCAATTTATAGCAAAAAATTGTATGGGGGCAGATATAATCGTTTTCGAGCTACAGCCCGTTGAAAAAAAATGTATTGGACTTTTCCTGCATATAAAAAAATGCATAAAAATATCAACACAAGCTTGTTTTAGAGACGATTGATTATTCTTTATATTTGGTCTTACAATTAATTCTTTTTGGAACTTTTTTTTAAAAAGCTCGAAATTTCTCAAAAATTTTTGTTATTTTATTGTTTTTCCTATATGTCTGGAAAATTCAATTTTGGGATAAGGTACGTTCTGCTCCTCAATGCAGACCGAAAAGGCCTATGCTAACGTTGTAGATTTCATTGCTCTAATTTTGGACCCTAAAGGTTCCCTTAGGCCAGCTAAGAAATGGTTTAAACTCATTTCCTCATAAAGGTGTTTTTTAACACTAATTATTTTAGAATCCCTTTCATGAATGTTGATAAAATTTCAATCCGAAAAATTTCAATCACTTCACTACAAAATCTCTCCACAGGCATGTTACTCTGCTTTAGTTTATGTAAGTCACGTATAAGTGACGTCTCAGTACGCTTTTCTGCGTAATGTAAAATTGAATTTTCCCTAATTTGAATCCGTTCTAATGGCGTCTCCACAATCCATTTGGCTTGATATTTTTATTGTGTGAAACCAAAAAATGAAAAAAGTAAATCTTATAATTATTAAAAAATAAATATAAATTGATTGCAAAAAAAATTATTTTCAAACTTTTCTTAAATTTATATATATTATTAATATTTAAATTATATAAATATAAATTTATTATATTAAATTTATATTTATACAATTTATAAATTATGTTACTTTCGTAGTAAAAACTGACAAAAAATTTTTTATGGTGCCATAAAAAACAAATTTAAAATAAAAAAAAAATTTAAATGATGAATCCAATTCGCAAAGTACAATCTTGTAAAAGCAATAGTGGAACAAAAAAGGTGCAATTACATAAATTTCTAAAAAATCCCAAATGGATAAATGAATGATGTAATAAATGATCGAAATTTCTAGATAATGCCGCAATATTACACATATTGTTCTTTACTTTCTTAATCTTCAAAATGTACTTTTCCGTAAAAGATGGTTGATAGAGACCAAAATTGCTTTTGCCAAATCAAGAGAAACCTTCAGAAAAACATACGAGTATCATACGTATTAAGAGATCAACAAAGCAGGAAGTAATTGAATTGCTGTAAACATCAACATCTGGTAAATCCACGAACTTACAGGTATAGGATATTTCTAAATTTTTCTAAATTCGGACTACTTAAAGAACCAACTGTTGCCATCTCAGGCTCCGTTTATTGAATTTCGTCAAGCTTATATTACTTCTGAAATCCATTAATAACTATGTATATACATTGAACATTTGTTGCAAAAAGTTTGAAAAAAGTAAAACCATAGCGAATTTCCTCTAAAATTTTTTGAATTTCAATCAAAATTTTAAAATTCAGTTTTTTTTTTACCAAAACGGTTTTTAAAATGTCAACTGCTTTTGAAAATGACTATTTATTGAAGAAAATAAATATTTGCACTTAAAACTTAGTGGAAAACTTAGTAAGAGCTACAAGTTTGAAGTTGTAAAAGGAAAAAAAAAATCAGATAAAAAAATGATAAAACAATATTTAAAAATTAAAATATTTGATTTAATTTCTTAAATAAATGGTCCTAAGTAAAATTTCTTTTAAAATAGCGTATCTAGAATAGGTAGAAGAAATTGGCTTAATCAATCATATCTTTGATGGAATGAGATTCCCGTGATATAAAAACATTACTATAGAGTTTAACGCTGTTTGCAATTAAAAAGTTTTTTGCAAAGTTAATTATAAACTTTTGTTAGAGTTAGAAAAAAAAGTTAGATAGAAAAATTGGATATTCCATTCAATATCTCAATTTTCTATCTAACAACAATATTCTTTTTCTATTTTTGTTATCTAACAACATTATTTGTTAAAATTTTTCCATTATCGGCTTTTTACTGACCAACCGTATCTTTTACTTGAATTTTTAAAAAATCGGAATCTACCGTCCTTGAACATTCTGGATATAATTGCCTGTACAAAAAGCCGAGATAAACAGCAACTTTATCAAAAGCTTATCTTTGTGACTTATTAATGGTCATGGCATGCGCAAGAGTGACAGTTGAATTGATGCCAAACAAAATTAGGCGGAAGCGCTGGATAATTCGAATTATCCATAGAAGTTCTAAGGATAAAATGAACACTTCTTTTTTTAAGAATTTTTTGTTTTTACGATTTCGAGAAAAAAATGGTATTTTTCAAATATTCATAAATAAAAACATGAGTAATTAATTTGCTTTAGATTTTTTATGTATATAATTAGTTCGTTTTGCAAAAGTAATTTCAAAAATAAAAATTAATATACAAAATTTGTGATAACATGGCGTCACGAAGTTGGATAAATTTTCAAATTTAAGCATTCCATTACAAAACTGAGCTACTTTCAAGCCCATCAAATTTAAAATCTTTAATTGGTAATTTATCTACAGCATCCAAAATGAATTCAAGTGAAAATTTCAACTTTGGTAATAGGTTATGTAATGAGTGGTACACTTGTTTTGATGAATTTCTTCCACTAGCATCAAGCAAACTTTCAAATGTTTGTGATACATTTTCAGTACTTGCATCAACAAAATCACTTTCATCAGTAAATGAACGTCCTCCGCCTAAATAGTCCACATAATCGTAGTCTCCAACAAGTGGATTGACTTTTGAATAATATATAGCAGCAAATGTAGAATAAATTATTAAAACCGCTGTTGCAAGCTATAAAAAATTAGAAAAGAAAAATTTTAGTTTTAATTTAGTAACTATTTTACTGTAGTTGAAATTATTTTGAATTTTTATTTATAGTTGAAATTTTTTTGCGTTTTCACCACGACTTATAAAAATACAGGCCTGAAACCCAAAAGTTTTGTGTTTAAAAACATTACAGAAATTGATTTAAAAAAAATCTTTTAAACTTTGTTCATTTTTTTTAAGTTTTCACTTACTACACTCGAGGCAAAAAAAAATTTTATTTTTATCTTTTTAATAACCTTATTTTTTGCGGTTTTTTACTCAAGTTGGAAAGTAAACATTTGATATAAATATACCTGCTTACTATGTTTATTTAGCTATATTGTATTAATTATAATAATACGCGTCTTCTTTTTATGAATGTATTTATTTAGTTAGTACTTTAATTTTTCAAATATCCCCTTTTGCATACCACCTTGCAGAAGTCGAAAATATGGAGTACATTTTTTGTAGCGGTGTTTCCAATAGGCCTTATTCACATACTTAGCAAAAAATATGCTTCAATGTAAAATTTTAGTTTAGAAAAACTAAAAGAAAAACAAAACAAAGAAAACTAATCTCATCGCTTAGTCACACGTGTAAATAACATAAAAAAATGTTACATAATATTATATAACAGACTCTTATAATGCTTCGTAAAGAAGTATGAATATTATTTATATAGAAGCACTATAAATTTTTTAGTAAATTATTTTAAATTAATTTAAAATTTTAAAATTTTGCTTTTAGTAAAATTATTTAAAATTACATTTAAAAATGTTTTACACATAAAATTTTCTTTAAAAAAATTTATTAAAATTTTATTAAAAAAAAAATATGTATTTTTTATTTATTCAGTGTACAAAAAAAATTCTCATCTTTATAAAAATTCAGGAACGCGTTTTATTAAAATTTCCATATTTTTTGAAAAATTTCTCTGCGAAACTGATTTTTTTGCCAGTCGAAAATATGAATTCTAAACTTTATTTTTATATAAAATTTTTGTAATCTTAATTTAATTAAACTTGATTTGAAAACTAAAGCTACTAAAATTTACTAAAGCACATACTAAAATTTTGAAACAAACCGATTTTTACTCTTAATTCTTTCTTATATTATATTGCTTAATATCTTAGGAAATTCGTTGATCAAAAAAATTTGGGAAAAACTCGAAATTATATTGATTCAAAATCGTAGTTAGTTCAAATTTTGAGTTGAAATTTAAATTTTGATATGTTGTTCAGGAATGTCCAAATTTTTTTTTCAGTATAAAAACTTTTAGGGTTTAGTAAACTTTTCGTATAGAAAGCTTGAAATTAAAATAGGCAAAAATCATAAATTTTAAAAATGAAAGAAAAAAAAAATTATTCTTGAGACATTCCATTTCGACAAAAATGCATATGAACTTTTAGCAAATACAAATGATAGTTTTGTTATATTTTATTCGATTATTGTAAATATTTATTTACGTAAGTACATATGCATATATCTATTTAACACAAATATAGTTGAACCAGAAAGAAAGACAAAACCTTCAGTTATCTAACAACACAATTTTCAGAATTTAACTTACTGTATAATATTTTTATCTTTCACCGAGATTTTTTTTAGCTGTGCATATTATGTAAGTGAAGCAATCTAATAATTATTATACTTTATACAGGATACAGATCTTTTGTGTAGCGTTTATTAATCGTTATTTAAGTGTTCACGAACGAACTAACCTTAAAGAACGAATCACTTCACTGAATTTAGCTGATTGATAAAAGCAAACGAGAAGAATAAATGAAATAATATACACCCAAAAGTGACCAAATCAGTTGCCAATATAAACACAATGCAAGTAAAATTGAACGATGTACTAAATCCAATACTCATAAAAACGAACCAAATACTCCAATATTGAATATTGATAAAACCGAACGAGAAGTGGAATAAATGAAATACTGTACACACAAAAGTAACCGAAACAGTTGCCTATATAAATACAAGCGATATAAATATAAAAACGAATGAGACCTAAAGTAAATGAAATTTTATTCTATACAAAGAAAACGATTTATGCAGTCTTTGAAATAAAGTAAAAAATAATTTAAAAAGGGGTTAACATAATGCTCGTTTTTAAGGGTGATTGTGTGAGTTAAGTAAAATAATTATATTTTTAAATGACATGGAATTTACCGTTAACTTTCTGCGTTTATAAAAAATTGAAAAAGCTTGCGGCTTCGCAAATATAAGGTACCAAATATTCAAATGTTATAAATTTCGAGAGATGATAACTTGAGAGGGGGTGGAGCTGGGAAAAAATTTTCTTCTAACCAAATGAACTATTTCTTAGTGTCTCAAAGCTAGTAAACTTTTAGGCTCTCACAAAAATGAGACATGAATTATAATTATAACAAAAAAACAAGAGACATGAATTATAAATAAAATCCAACACAAATAAAAGTGAACAATATACTAAATAACCTATTGCTATATGCATAAACTCCTATAAAGCAAAATATATATTAATGTTTGTTCATGTTGATTTTTGCGTTTGTGTGTATTGACAAATAAGGAGACTATAGCATTTCTTTAGTCCACATATAAATTTCGTACGAGAAGGATGTGTCGCTAAGCGGTAAAATAAGTTATTTGCTGTTTAAAATTGAATTTTCATTTAAATTTAGTAAAAACACTTTTCCCGATAAGTGCTATCTTAACGACAGCCCCTTATACGGAATTCAAAAAATAAACGAAGGTCTCTTTTTACGGAAAAGAAATTCGATTTACGGAAGATTTTTAAAATGTAAAGAAAATTAGTAATCTAAAAAGTTATAATTTTTATATTGTAAAAAAACTTATTTCTAGGAATTTTTTGTTTCAATATACATATATATGTTAAATATTATGTAGATACATAAAAAATATTGTGATTATGTGTGTATATGTATTTCAATGTTTTATACAAAACATATATCAGAGCAAAATAATGCAAAGAAAGTAATTGCTTTTTTCCAAGAACTAAATTTCTTGTTGATTCTTGTTGTCTAATGTTGTAACAATAATAAAATCCTACCATATTTTTTGCAAATTAACAAGAAATATATGTACGTATATAAGTACGTTTATGTAAAAAATTATGTACTTGTAACGTAATTTAAGTAAGAAGATTCGATTTACGGAATTTTGTTTTATTCGAATTACGAAATTTCGATTTTTTGAATTTCTAATTTTGTTTTTTTTTTCTTGAAAGTTGACTCTGAAGAGCCCTTATCCTTTTTTAAGGAAAAAAGAATCTAAAAAAAAGATTTCAGTTTTTAACACAGACAACCTTTCTTGTCTTTCAATTGGAGGGTAGTGAACTACAGAATAAAGGTTTTGAATAAGAATACTGCCCTGGTAAGTATACGTCCACCATCTAGAGAGAGCAACTCTCATTTTCCTTTTACGGTTTTAGAGTTTATATGTAGAAAAAAAATGTTCACAGTTCTTTTGTGTTTTAGGTAATTTGCGTCTAAAAATACCTAAAAACATTTTTATATATTTAAAATTTGGAGTTTTATTCTGATGTTTGCAAAAAAAAGGAGGAAGTTTTCATTCAAAATAAATTTTATTAAAAATATGTTTCCTAAAAATTATAGAAAATCAAGCCACACAGATCTTCCCCACTGCCATTTAAAAGGATACTGAGTAAAATTACAGAAAAAAAATTGAAATAAATTTTAAATTGAAAAATTTTCATAGGGTAAACTCTAATTGTATTTTACTTTTATTAGAAAATTTTGCTGAAAAATATTGGGCATTTTAAATAATCAGTGCGAAGTTTATACAAAATGTTTTCGATAAGCCAAAACTTTGATATCAGCCAAAATAGGATATTTAATAAAATAAAGTTGGGTCAAACCAATGGTTTGTATTGTAGCACTTTTCAATTCAACAAGTAAAACCATTGCTTTTAAATACAGTCTATGTCCACCTACCGCACTGTTAAAATTATTTTCATTCATAAACCAAACTATTTCTAGGATTACATATATTTAGGATGAACGATTTATGAAGTCTAAAATAAAGCAATAATTAATTTAAAGAGGGGTTAACATAATGCACAATTTAAAGGGTTAATTATGTAAGTTTGGAAAAATAATTATATTTTTAATACTATGGAATTTACCGTTAGCTTTTTGCGTTTATAGAAATTTGTAGAAGCTTGCGGTTTCGAAAATATAAGGCGTCAAAAAATTAAATTTTACAAATTTCAAGAGGCTAGGACTTGGGAGGGAGTGAAGATGGCAAAAAATTATGTGTTAATGAAATAAACTATATATTAGTATCTAAAAACTGCTATTTCAGGCTCCTTCAACCTGGAGCCTAGAAGAAAAATGACATCAAAAATTTAAAAAAAACGGATTTTAGATAACGGTAAATTTGAACGGCCATATTGTTTTTTTAAGTTTAGTTATAGTATGATCCGATAGGAGAAGCAAGCCACTGCCTTTCTGCGTTTTCAAAATTTGAAAAATGCTTATATTTTCACTGCAACAAATGATTAAAAAATGGCATTTTTAGGGTGTTAAGGGAGTATAACTCCTAGAGGGGGAAACCAAAGTCTCTTTTTACGGAAAAGAAATTCGATTTATAGAAAATTTTTTTAAATGCAAAAAATTTTAATCATTTGTGCAATGACAAAATAAAAGGATTTAGTAAGAGAATTCATCCTCTTTAAAGGTCGGCTCTACGGATTCTGGAAATAGCCATTTATTGCATTTGATTGATCCCTTCAGGAGGAACGCGAAAACCTGGCGTTCACCACCTACATCTGATGTGCGGATTTTAGAAAAGAATAAAAATATAGAAGGTGAACTACCGAACACTCAAGCTCCACAGACCAATAAGGATATAAACATGAGTAAAGCTCAAGCCAAAAAGAGTGATGATCAGAATGCTAACTTGCATAAAAGGATTAGCCAACTAGAACAGCTCTGTGTGGCTTTGAAAAACAAGGT